TCGGGACTGACCAGCGCAGGTAGGGGGAAAGTGCAGCTGAGCCCCTGCTCCTCTAACTGGGCTCATCCTGAGGTTCATTTCATGTTTGTAAAATGCTTGGAGAGCCCCACATAGATGCACTGCATAGAAATGCAAAATATATTTTGACTTATTTGGTTGGCACCTTGGGCTGAGATTTTCAAAGCTGAGTCAAAAGGCCAACTTCCATTAAAATGAATGGGATTTAGAGGGCTCCACATCTTTTATGACAACTTTGTAATATGCCTATCTACCCCTTTTTGCAAATCTCAGCCATAGTTTGGAAGCTCAGCCAAAGAACATAAGAGCTTCTGAACATAAGGGCATAAAAACTGCCATGCTTGGTCAGCCCCACGGTCCATCTAGCTCAGTATCCTGTCCCGAACAGTGGCAGAGGTGAATGCTATAGAGGGAGAGTTTTGAAGTGGTTATTTACACCCATTTCATTGTCACTTCCTGCAACTTCACTGGTGTCAAAGGTCACGTGACATCACTTCCTGAAGTGACATCACTTCCGGTGAGGTCTTTGAATATGGCTCTCTGGCCCACTGGGTGATTAAAAGTTCGTGATCCGGCCCCACATTCAAAAAGGTTGGACACCCCTGATTTAGTATACTCCATATACTGCAGCAGGGGAGGCATCCCTAGAGTCCTAGCATTTGCCTTTTTCTAGCTCTTTCCTTTGCAGCATCTGCTTATGGCTAGAGTGTCTAGATGCAGCAGGGCTTGGGTGGCTAAAGGTTGCCCACCGCAGCTCTAGGGCAATATTTACAGTCAACTACAAGCTAAAGAAGACAATTTGATTAACTGCATGAATCAATAGTTGCAATATCCTCACAAAGCTAAAGGCGCAGCCCAGAAACTACTGCAGTGCTATATACCTGACCTGGGACTGTCACAGGATCTGGAATCCCACAGAGCATGAACTGAGCTGCAATCAACATACCAGTGGCTTTTAGATTCAAAATTAGCCTCCCACCACTCTGAAATGCAACTAGGCAGACAAGTAGCCAGAGACTATTATCACATGTTTGGTGATGCTGCTGGTTTCAAGGCTAAAGAAAATGGCTGGCTCTTTTCTGCTCAAAGAAAAGAGGAGCACACAAACCCATGACTGGCATGTTCGGTCAACAAAAATTAACTGAAAGCTGAAAGTGCTAATCAACTGGGGAGAAATGGTATGAAGTGATGGAAAAAATAGAGTCAGTTAGTGAGCTGGGATAAGACACAGGGGCTTCCTACATACTGAGCCCCTTGCTCCCCTGCCCCCTCCACCCATACGTAGAGACCTAAGGAAAGGCACTTGATATTTGAAAACTTGTCCAAAATGCTCTCCCAAATATACAATTAGTCCAATAAAAAGATATCACAAAAAATCCTTTGTTCTCATACATTTCTTGGATCATCATGACTCACAACTTTCCAAAACTATTGTATTTGCAAACTCATGGACAATTTTAAATGCATTTTAACTATACTTTAGTGAAGTTAGCGACTGGAAATGAAGAAAATCAGTACCATGTTATCAGCCAACTCTAGAGTATCAGTGACAAACCCAGACTCTATTATGGGACTACAACATGTTCTATATGCACTATATATCCCTAGATGAAATACTGTATAGGAGAATGTGACAGCCTACTTTATATGGACTGAACACAAAAAGATAAGTATGGGAATTAAAACTGAGCTTTGTTTACAAACAGGCAAGTTTAGTGTAATTTAAAGGTTAGTCTTAACCATACATCTGCTTCTCAACATATTTATATAGCCAATGTTATTTTAAAAGATATTGCTTTCACTTTAGACTTTAAAGTAAAAAGCTCTAAATGAAGAAAGACACAATTACTTAAAGAGAATGAATTTAAGTTTCCCTTAATTCTAACAACATTCAAATAATTTAGATTGTAAAATGGAAACTTGAAAGTATTAACTTGAATTATGAAGCCTAATTTTATACTCTGAATTGCAAAGCTTTTTATAACTCCCTGGATTGTTAGCAGAGACTTGCAGTTTGAAAAGTTTACATGTTATCAAGTTCTTTTTTCCGTATTTGGAAGTTCAATCAAAGCTTATGATTTTATTTTCTCTTTTGAAACATACTTTTTGGTATCCACTATACTTCCTCTCCCCTCATGTTAAAGTCAACAAAAGCATTATTTTGTTTTGATTCCTTTTTTTTGCACCAGCCTGAACTATGTAACCAGCAAAAATATATACTCTTTATGGAACTGAATTTCTGCTAAATTCACTAAGGAAATACCAGAAAAGATACTGCTCCTCTATAAGACCCATTGAATTCCTTTGCAACTATAAGATATTTAGATTTCAAAAAGAGTACTCCTCGACTTTCTTGTTTTATATTGTTCAAATTTTGAGTCACAACTACTTAGCATCCTGCAACAGTCTATAGTTTACTCCATGTATTAATGATCAAGATTCTAAGTATTTAGACCTTGGATCCTGAAAATGTAAAGAGATAATTAACCTAAGCATTCAAAATATAGCTTATTTATATACATTTACCTTGCTTTTGTTTTTCTCTTGACCCTGTTCAGATACACTGTCTTGCCCACTCTGTGCAAAGTGAAGACCACTACCAGAAACCTGAGGCTCTTTATGACTGTCTCCAAACCAAGAGAAAGGCATGCAAGTGGGAACAGGTGAATCTGAATCTGATGCAGATAGATTGTTGCCAGAGTCCTCCAACAACTCCCGGGACCCTCTGAAATAAATAAATGCATTGGTAATTGTGCCACAGGAACTTACTATGTATATTTCAGGGCATGCTGACGTTTTAAAAATTAAAATTTATATTCACTTACCAAAATGCATACGAGAACTCTTATGTGTCACGTATTAAAAGATCTTTTAAAAACTCATTGTAAATGTTTTAGCACCTTCCATATATATGCAGCAACTACAAGAAGCTACTCCTAACATGGGTGTCCTAGATGCAATACAATTTTACATTTATGAACTGAAAAGAAGATACAGACTTCATGTGAATAGGTTTAAACTGACTGCCGTTTCATGAGCACAGAAACGTATTGAAATCTTCATTTCTGCAATATTTCATTATCGTTGTACTGACATCTATGTGTTTCCTATGGTCAGAAAGCAATGTCTACTTCAAGAAAATATATTTTTTTTTTTTTTAGTAATTTTGAGAATGTAATATAATTTTTAAAAAAATACCTGCTATCCAGAGAACCCCTCAGATTTTCCTTTTCTTGTTTCTTGCCTTTACCACCAGATTTCCGTAAGCCTCTGAATTGAAGAAAAATGCAACTTTCAAACAAATTCTACATTTGAGTGCCATGTTAAATTCTATAAATATCATGTATATCAAAATATGTTAAATATTTGTTATACATTTAATTCATATAACAATTATAAAAAGGCTTGATCTTTAAAACACTATATAGAGTGGAGCACAATTTTGCAGATATTTCCTTTTATGTAAGGCATGCTATTATTCACATTTCCTTAAGAAATGAGGAAAGTTACTTAAAAAAACTTCAATAGGACTGCATATGCTACAAATATATATGTTAACTTCCAGCCTAAAGCAGCTAACTGCTTGATATATACAAACACATGTATAAAACCCCCTTCAACAAAAACAGATTACAATATGGGGAGGGGCCAGCATAGAGAAAACTGGTTAAAGACATTAAAACAATTTTGGAACTCTGTGGTGGTAATCTCTTTCCCCCCTGCCAACTTCCACAGAAACATTTATTCACACTGTTTCCATATGAAAACGTCCCAGACACTTGCCAATACATGTCAAATCCTGAAAAATCCAACACAACTAATGTTTGGCACATACCCAATGCTGCGCTCAGACTCAGGCATGCTTATGGTGCATGCTCAGCAGGGCACTAATAGCAAGGACATTACATTTCCCCAGCTTTTGGCAAATGCAAGTGGATGTGTGAGTGGACTTTGTTTACTTTCAGTAGCACTTCCCAGAATAGCTTTGGCAGTGTACACATCCCCACATGTATAGAGTAACTCGCATTTTAAAAAAATGCCCACACTCATTTGTTTTGCTCTCCAGTCAATCTGTCTCAAACATGTCTCCTACTGTTCTGGAGAGGTGGCCCTACTTCGAATCCTCTCTCTCATGTGCCAAGAAAGAGGGGTGTAGAGCATATAGTAAATTTCAGCCACTCTTCTCCCTGGCTTCGCTGCTACTACAGTATTGCTCAGCAAAACAGCTCAGTGGTCTCCACTTTCGTTTTTTCCACTATACTCAATTTTTACATCTTCTAACTAGGTCTAAGATGCAACTCCCTGCTCTACTGTTGCCTTCCTGGGAAGAATAATGCAGAAGGCAAGTACAGTGATCAAATTCCAGCCTAGTTAAAACAACAACAAACAAAACAAATAAAAAAAAGAAAAAAAACAACCCAAAACTCATTGAACAGGATGCCAACAGAAATGAGCACTAGGTTTCTTGCTCCTGGAACATGTTAAATTCCATAGTAAAAGTGCATGCATACATGCTAGCACAGACACCTATGCATCTCTAGACAAATTCATTATTGCAGAGCCAAAGTTTTGAATATATACATCAATAAGAGTGAAATAAATCACAGGGATGACATCTCAAAAAGAAGCACTATAAAGGCCAAGAAATTTCCAGATGAAATTCCCTACCTGGTCAAGTAGGGAACTATACAGTTAGGGCATCCAAGAAAACAGAATGTGGCTCTGCAATGCTGCCATGCAATATAATCTTATGACTCAGGCACTTTAGTGTATACAGCCCTAGATTAGGTTGAATTTAATTTTAAATAAATATTTAAAAACAAAGCATCCCTCCCTCGTTCTCTTGTGCCACAATAAAATAGGAAAAATGAAGCCACTATGTTTGCCAGGTAGCTTATGCCCTTGATTTAACAGATTTCATAGACATTAGGGCTGGAAGGGACCTCACAAGATCACTGGGTCCAGCCCCTGCCCAAGGGGCAGGAAGTCAGCTGGAGTCAGATCACCCCAGCAAGATAAACATCCAAGTGTAGGGGTGATCTGACCCCAGATGACTTCCTACTCCTTGGGCAGGGGGCTGGGCCCAATGATCTGGCATGGTCCCTTCCAGTCGTAATGTCTATGAAAATCAAGGGCACATGCTACCTCGCAAACATAGCGGCTTCATTTTCCTATTTTATCCCATAGCACCCATTCTGAAAGACAAGGCTTTGAAAAAACGTCTTTCTGGCTTTTTAAGAACAACAACTTCTAGTTACAAAGATTAATAGTACAATATTAATCATTACTCCTAAAAAATCTTCAAATACATATAACTTGGACATAATATTTTACTGAGTTTGAAGTACTATCCAGATCTATAATACTAAGTTTGAAGTATTATTCAGATCTATAATACTAAGAACATTTAGGAGCATCTGGAAGCATATACTAATGTTTATTAACTCATCTTGAATATTAATCTTAATTGAAATTATTGAATTTACTTGTAACTTCTCAAAAAATGACAATATAAAACTCGAAGAGTATGCAATGTAATTTGAAGAGATTTGTTGTATTTTACTCAATCTCACGGCATTCAGCTAATACCTCCTTTTATATAAATGCATGGAGGCAAAGTATAGAATATGCTGTCCCAAAACTATAATACATATTTGTATGCTCATATGTTTGTTTGTTTAGTAATTATATCATGATTAAACCTGACAGAGCAGTCAATGACCAGTGAGGATTAATAGTAGAATGATAGCTCAATGAATTTGAAGGGATGAAGGGGGGAATACCAGAAATGCAGAGGAAAACATCATAATCACATTTTAAAGACATTTACTTCTGCACCAGCACATGCACACACACAAAAAATATCTCACCCAAAGTCTGGAAATCTTCTTTTGGACTTCCCAGAAGTTGTACCTTCACTTGCTTCTACTGTCTTATCTTCATTTCTCCTTTCATCTGTGTATGAAAAAAGCAGAAATTAAGCAAACTTTAACTACCTACTAAAGGTATTTGTAAACTTTAATATTTGTAACTTTGTGTTGTTAAAATGCATGTTCATTTTAACCACGAAGATTTAAAAATAACCTGATGCTTGACTTCCTGGTCTTTGAATTCTCATGCACCATACCTCTGTGGGGCAGAGCTGTACTCCTACCCATTGCGTCCACAGGTGGCAAATAATGGGATGACCTTCAGGGAAGGTTAGCTGTGAAATAAGCAGGGGTAACTCTGACTAATAAGCAGTCATGGACCAAGCAGCAGCAGCACCACCAGGATGTGGTGAGGACAGCAGGTGGCAATGGTTTCCCTCCTGAAAAGCAACGTATATACTTTGATGGTGCTGTGACATGGCAAGCACAGGTCACCACTATAAATAAATCTGCCCAGGCCCCAGCCATATGTCTACAAGTCCTGAACAGCAGAGCAGGCAGAAGATAACAATCTCAACAGGTGTGAAGGTGGATAAAGGCTGCGGTGGAACAAGATCCCAGGTGTTTTAGTTTCCTTGCTATTGGATCAAGGTCCTATTCTGTCAAGAGTTGTGTGAAAGCTGATGTGTCAAGACCTCTTCCACCAGTACCTCAACAAAAAAAAGAGTCATGGACAGGTGTCTTCCATGAAAACAGCTTTTCCAGCACATTCCTCAAGCCCTTTGGTGACCAGTTAATGGCAACAGGAGCAGGATTGTGAGTTCTGGAAGCTCCTAGTCATGAACTGGCATGAAGGTGGCAGTTACAAGAAGGTAATCTAGTACTTAGACAAGACAGGAGTGCAGTTCAGCAGTTGTAACTGTGACTGAGCAGCCTTCTTCAAGATCTCCTCTGTTCACCCCAGATGGGGAGGGGGCTAGAAAAGGTGCCCTAAACATAGCCTGTCTAATACAGTATTCTGCATTTCTTCCTGACTAGATAACTGCATCCAGTGGAATCACCTTTACTGTGGTCAAAAAAACCAATAAAGACACAGCATCATTTTGGGGACCTGGAACAACAGAACCCTCATGGACAACCCAAATAGTAAATGCCCAGAGTGCCACGCTGCAATCATGGCCCAAGAACTCAGGCAATACAATATGGATGTAGCTGCACTAAGCAAGACACAGCAAGTAGGAGATGGACAGCTCACAGAACTTGGAGGCAGCTATACCTTCCTCTGGAAGGGTAAAGAGAAAGGAGAATGCTGACTTCACAGAGTTGGCTTTGCCATTAAGAATGAACTCATAAACTAACTCAATGAATTCTCTATTGAAATTGAGTGCCTCATGACTCGGTCTTAAAATGGCAAGGAGCCAATATGCCATTGTCATCAGCACGTATGGCCCGACTCTTGGTGCTGCCGATGAAACCCAGGAAGAATTCTATGCCAATCTTGACCAAGTCTTTTCTGACGCTCTGGAAGGAGATGCACTTATTTTTTTTGTCGATTTCAATACCAGAGTCAGAAGGGACTCTAACCTCTGAAACAAAACCATCGGCAAGGAAGGAGTAGGAAAAGTTAACTCTAATGGCATCCTCCTCGTGAACAAATGTGTGGAAAACAGGCTAACCATCACCAACACCCTGTTCTGCCCGAAAAATAGGCACAAGACATTATGGCAACACCCATGATCTAAGCATTGGCATCTAACTGACTATGCCATTGTCCATGCCCAGGATCACAACGATGTCCGTATCACCCAAGCTATGCTAGGAGCTGTTGACTGCTGAACTGATCGCCTATTCATTTGCTTAGTGATGTCACTCAAACTGGCTCCCAAACAACTACTGCAGCAGAAGCAATACCAATGGAAGATCAATGATGAAGGACTCAAGGACCCAAGCAAGCAAGACTTCTTCCACCAGTACCTCAATGAAAAAATGGTGAATTCCAATCAACAGTGGGATAATGTCAGCAGCATGTGGGGTGCCCTCACGGCCACCATCATCAGCGCCTGTGAAGAGACACTTGGGCTCCCTACCAGGAAACTTCAAAACTGGTTTGATGAAAATAACCAGGAGATCCAAGAGTTAATCAATCGCAAGCACAAGGCCTTTTGTGCTTGGCAAAACAACACCAATTCCAAACAAAAGAAATTGTCTCTCCAAAAGCCAAGGTAGAGGTCCAAAGGAGAATCCGTGATATGAAGAACAAACAGTGGGAAGACAAGGCTAAGAAGATTCAACATCTTCATAGATTCATAGAAGTAGGGTTAGAAGGGACCTTGTAGATCTTCAAGTCTGACCCCCTACCTGGGCAGGAGGGAAACTGGGCTCAAGTGACCCCAGCCAGGTAGGCATCGAGCCGCTTCTTAAAGACCCCCCCGGGTAGGAGCCAGCACCACTTCCCTTGGAAGTTGGTTCCAGATCCTAGCCGCCCTAACTGTGAAGTAGTTCCTACGGATGTCTAATCTGAACCTACTCTCTAACAACTTGTGGCCATTATTCCTTGTTATCCCGGGGGGCACTAGGGGAAACAAGGTCTCCCCCAAACCCTTCTGGTCCCCCCTAGTGAGTTATAGACGGTCACAAGGTCCCCCCTCAGCCTTCTCTTGTGAAGGCTGAACAGGTTCAGGTCCTGTAGCCTCTCACTGTAGGGTCTGCCCTGCTGTCCCTGGATCATGCATGTGGCCCTCCTCTGGACCCTCTCAATGTTGTCCACATCTCTCTTGAAGTGGGGTGCCCAGAACTGGATACAGTACTCCAGCTGTGGCCCGACCAGTGTCACGTAGAGGGGGAGGATCACCTCTTTGGCCCTACTTGAGATGCACCTGTGGATGCACGATAGGGTCCGGTTAGCCCTGCCAACCGTGACCTCGCATTGTTGGCCCATGTTCATCTTGGAGTCAATGATGACTCCAAGATCCCTTTCTGCCTCCGTGCTCTCAAGAAGGGAGTTTCCCATCTTATAAGCGTGCTGCCGGTTACTACTGCCCAAGTGCTGCACCCTGCACTTGTCCGTATTGAAACGCATCCTGTTTTTGTTAGCCCACCCTTGCAACCTATCTTGCTGACATACGTGTGGTTTCTTCGGTGCCACCAAAGCCAGCTATGGGCTGAGCACTCAGGGACCAACTCCCTTGAGACCTAAGGATGGAGGAGACCTGATCAAGGAAAGGGGAGCCATCAGTGGCTGATAGGAGATTGAGAAGGTCTTCAAAATGTGAGACTGTTGTTGATGAGAGTGTTCTCAACTCCATCCTGCAACACCCAGTCAGAGATGATCTCGGAATCCCTCCAATCCTTGACGAGGAAAGCCATCAAGCAGATGAAGAACAAAGTATCTGGAGCGGATGGAATCCCCATGGAAATCTTCAAACAGGGAGGAGAGGAGCTCACATCACAGCTTCATGCCCTCATCATAAGGATCTGGAATGATGAGGAAATCCCAGACAACCTCAGGAACACCATGATTATGACAACTTTCAAGAAAGGAGACAAGTTTGACCATGGAAACTACAGAGGGGTCATCTTATTGACCACCACAGGAAAGATCATTGTGAGAACCCTCCTGAATTGTCTCCTTCCACTTGCTGAGGAGCTCCTCCCAGAATCTCGTGTGGGTTTAAGATATCAAGAGGAGCAACTGACTTGATCTTCACAGCTCACCAGCTGCAGGAAATATATCAGGAAAAACACAAGCCTGTCTACATGGTCTTTTTGACTTTACAGAAGCTTTTGACTATGTCAGTTAAGAAGTGTTATGGGGGATCCTTCTGAAGTACAAATGTCCACCAAAATTTGTCACAATTCTCTGCCTGCTCCATGATGGTATATGAGTGGTGGTTCTCAGTAATGGATCTATCACAGATCCCTTTGAGGTTAAAATGGAAGTTAAACAAGGCTGCGTCATCACTCTACTCTTCCCAATATCCCTTGCCATGATGTTACATCTGACCACCAACAAGCTTCCAGCTGGAGTGGAGCTCAACTTCTGAATGGATTGGTAAGCTGTTTAACCTCAGCTGACTCCAAGCCAAAAGCAAGACCATCCTGACCTCAATCATTGAGCTCCAGTACGCTGCTGATGCTGTAGTGTGCGTTTATTCGGAAGCAAACCTTCCAGGGAATCGCTGACATCTTTACTGAGGCATACAAGAAAGTGGGACTAACGCTTAACATTCAGAAGATTAATGTCCTCCACCAACAAGTTCCTAATGAACAGTCTCCAGCTCCAGTAATCCAGATCCACAGTAAGACTCTGGAGAACGTTATTTCCCATATCTTGGAAGCCTTCTCTTGCAGAAGGCTGACACTGATGAAGAAATCCAATGCTGCCTCAAATGTACAAGTGCAGCCTTTGGATGCCTGGAGAAACGGGTGTTTGAAGATTACAACATCAGATCCAAAACCAAGCTCATGTTTTATTAAGCAGTCACGATCCCCAACTTGCTGTACAGAGCTGAGATATGGACAATGTACAGGAGACACCTAAAGTAGTTGGAGAAGTACCAGCAATACTGCCTGCAGAAGACCCTCAGAATTTTGTGGGAAGACAGACGCATCAACGTTAGCAACCTCTTGCAAGCAAACCCTGTTAGTATTGAGGCGATGACCATCTGACACCAACTTTGGTGGGCCAGCCACATCACCTGGATGTTTGACTCCAGACTCCCGGAGCAAGTTTTATCCTTCCAGATCAGCCAAAGCATACGCTCAAGAGGAGGTCAGATAAAGTGCTTCAGGGACCTCCTCAGGCCAACTTAAAAAAAATGCAACAATGTCAACTCATGGGAGACTACTGCCCAGGACTGCACCAAATGGAGGTAGAGCCTGCTGTAGGAATCTCGGTACTTTGAAACCTCATGACAACAACAGGAGAGAGAAAAGCAGGAGTGGCAGAAACAGTGTGTTGCAGACCAGATAAAGAATCCAGCCACCCACCCCGCACGGAAACGCATGTCCTATCTGCAGCAGAGTCTGTCAATCCTGAACAGGCCTCATCAGCCATCTTTGGACACGCAGATAAAAAAATCATCC